TGAAAAATTTAAGGGGGTCTGAATACTTTCCGTACCCACTGTATATATATATATATATATATATATATAAAAAAATTCTTTAAATTGTAATATTATTTCATAATATAAATGTTTTTACTGTATTTTTGATCAAATAAATGCAGCCCTGGTGAGCATAAGATACTTACTGACCCCAAATTGAGCAATCTGGGCTTGTTTAAGGACACTCACCTTTGTCTATCTTTTCGGTTATTCACAGACATTTTATTATTCATCTTCCATTACAAAGAGCATTTCCCAGTATCTTTCTAATAATACATAGAGGGAGATTGCTGAATATTGATTGTAATCATTAGCTGTTAAAGGTGAAGTCTTTAATTTAAGACACATTTTTAGTTCTCTCGTATTTTAGTTTCGCATGCGGAGACAAATGCACTGGGATTGTGTGTACGTGCAATGCATTGACCAATTTGCGTTTGTGTTTGCTGACTTGCCTAAAGTATGTTCCAGGCTTTAGTGTTTAGGGTACAAGGGGTCGTAATTTAAATGTGAGAATTCCACATTACAATTGAGGATAAGCACCTGTTTGACTAATAAATCTATTTTAAAGCCTTAGATAATTAATTTTATTGCTACTATGTCTAGATAACACATTTCATAAACATAATAACCACAGCGTTTTAAAATATTAGCTGGCTATGTTCATTGAATATTATCTTTTTTTTTGTGCTTGAGGGAATGATCTATAAATCAGGCAATTATGCAACGTGTTCTTTTTGAGCAGGGCCAGATGGGCGGCACTTTCCCCTCTTTGCCCTTCATTCAGGTGTCTGGAGAGAAAGCAAGATGGGACACAGACAAAGACATCTCTTACAGAAATGGATTTTATAGTTGATGTTATTTAACATTAAATGTAAAAAAATGTGTTTCAAAATGCCAAATAAACAGTTTTGTCATGCTTTGCATGACTGTGTGAATGTTTTGTGTGTTCAAGTATGTCTAATCTCTACCTCCTTTATTACAAATCACAATCAATTTTGATGTTTACATCTTTTAATTATTATTATTATTATTATTATTATTATTATTATTATTATGTCATTTTATGATAACTGACTGAATTGTTCTCTGGCCAAATAGATATAATGTGCAAAACCACAGCCCAGGCTGATATTGTCCTTCTTGTTGATGGATCTTGGAGCATTGGTCGTCTGAACTTCAAGACCATTAGGTCTTTCATTGGTCGCATGGTGGGTGCCTTTGACATCGGGCCGGATCGTGTCCAGATTGGTAAGAGAAATTTATCCTGAATCCAAAGTGAGAAGATCCACAACTAAGTGCCATGCACAGGAAAGAAAAATCACAAAATATCTCAATCCTTTCTCTTGAATTCTCTCTCAAGTCTCAAGTTTCTCAGATGTTGGTTTCTCCTGAGAAAAAGACCTCATATGTGTGCTTTAGAGTTTCAGAAGATGTCTCAAAAATGTCTCAAACTTTGATTGAGTAATCAGGATACTACATTCTGTAATCAAAATCAGATCTCAGTATAACCTCCAAAACCAAATGATCTGCCAAATGATATATTATAGCTGTGTACTCATACTGGATGTCAAATATTCTCTTATAAATGTTTTACTGCTCTTCAAACATTTTAGGATAAATATCTGAGAATTTTTTTTTAATTTTAGGTCTTTTGTACTATAAAAGAGAAACTTCTGAGCAATGGCATCTTCTTATGTGTTTAATTATGAACACTGTATTTGTCCGTTTGTAGGTCTGGCACAGTACAGTGGAGACCCAAAGACTGAGTGGCACCTAAACTCTCACAGAACCAGAAAAGAGCTGCTGGATGCCGTGGCCAGTCTACCCTACAAAGGAGGAAACACTATGACTGGTATATCATATTTTATTCTGATCTATATGTCAGATCAAACACACTTGATTTGTGGTGAAATCCTCAAGTTTGTATGGAAAGCTTGTCTTCCACTTGTGATGTTTTCGCTTGCAGCTCCAATTTAAAAAATGGAAAAGTTTATTGAATCTTTAGAAAATATCTAAAGAAAAAAAAAACTGCATGTGTTTTGTTGAGTATTATATTTGATACATCAAGATGTATGGCTCTCATAGTACGATAGAGTGAGAATAATGGAACTCAAACTCGTGAAGGAAAAAACAGCTCAGTTTGCTTCAGAGACACAAACTGAGCAAAAATATGCAATTTGATGCAGATGCTGATATTTATGCGACCAAAAAATAAGATGAATTATAACGGCTTGGATGTAAATCAGTGAGATCTTTAATAACAGTATAGTAGACTGACATAAATTAGTGTAAATATCAGTTTGCACTCAATCGCCCAAAATGTCTTAGTAAGATGATATTTAAATGATCAAAACATATAATGCAATGCAATACAATCATGACTGAGAGATGAACAAATAAACGTCCATCAAATCCCTGATCATATTTGAGACTCACATTTAAACATTTTTAATAAAAAAAAATTATGTATTGATAATCAAGTAAAAGGTTTCTTTAGTTGAGTCAGTGTTTATCTTACCTTATATTACTAACTATATAAAAGTTATTCTTATGTGTACTTTATAAAAATCAGTGTTGCAAAAAAAGTATAAGCTATCAATCAGACGACAGAAGGCATTTTTTTCAGCAAAGTTTTTATCATGTCAATCATTTAGAGTCCATAGAAATGTGCATATCAAATATGATACAGTAGGTTTATAGGGTCAATACTGGTCTTCAGTAGGTTTACTGCTCGTGTTGTGTATTTAGACTAATATTACCAATATTCTCTAATTCCACAGGTCTTGCTTTGAACTACATCCTTCAGAGCAATTTCAAGAAGAATGTTGGAATGCGTCCGAACTCTCGGAAGATCGGCGTCCTAGTTACTGATGGCAAGTCTCAGGATGACATCACGGTCAACTCTCAGAACCTACGTGACCAGGGCATTGAGCTGTATGCCATTGGTAAGAACTGGTTTTCCCTTATATGAATAGTTAGTGAAAGACAATGGATCATGAGTTTTATTGGGCTTTAACATGTCTTTTGTGGTTTTGATCTCCAGGTGTGAAGAACGCAGATGAGAATGAGCTGAGATCCATTGCTTCAGATCCCGATGACATCCACATGTACAACGTGGCTGACTTCTCCTTCCTGCTGGACATCGTGGACGACCTGACAAACAACCTGTGTAACAGTGTCAAGGGTCCAGGTATCACTGAGTTCACGCTCTCTAAAACAATGAGGCTGAAAGATACAGTATTTCTGACGGAACAGGGATAGTCAATAATAAAAATGTAGAGAAAAACTGACTGGACTGTGAAAAGTTGGCAATCTATATGGGAATGAAGGTCTAATGCCAAATTTACACTGCAGAGAATGCATTTAAGAGCTTCTGATGTGGCATTTAGGCATCTTGACTGTTTAAAGGGTTAGTTCACCCAAAAATGTCATCCTAGGTGTATATGACTTTCTTCTTTCAGACGAATCCAGTCGGAGTTATATAAAAAATTGTCTTTGATCTTTCAAGCTGTTTAATGCCACTCAGCGGGTGTTGCATGCATCAGTCCAAAAGAAGTTAAATAAAAAGCGCCCATCCATTAAAAAAAAGTGTCTCACACGGCTCCAGGGGGTGAACAAAGGCCTCCTGTAGCGAATCGATGCGTTTTTGTAAGAAAAATATCCATATTCAAAACGTAATATCACTTTAATGTAGCTTGTGCTCACTGTTGTAGACTGGAAGCAGCTCCGGGCGGATGATGCATGAGGTCAGCTTTGCGCATGCGCTGCTCAGAAGTGACGCACGCGGAAGCGCAGGGGAGAGATCAAAACAACAGTCAATAATTAGAAGTACAAAACGAGGATTTGTAAATCCTTTGCTCCTGTTAACAAACGTTGTTTTTCACGAGACTCACCGGCGCATGCGCAACACTGACCTCATACGTCTTCCGAGTAGGACTGTTGGTGCAAGCTACATTAAAGTGATTGTTACATTTTGAATATGGATATTTTTCTTACAAAAACACATCGATTCACTCCAGGACTCCTTTGTTCACCCCCCGGAGCCGTGTGAGACACTTTTTTTTAATGGATGGGCGCTTTTTATTTAACTTCTTTTGGACTGAAGCAATGCAACACCCACTGAGTGGCATTAAACAGCTTGAAAGATCAAAGACGATTTTTAATATAACTCCGACTGGATTCGTCTGAAAGAAGAAAGTCATATACACCTAGGATGACTTGAGGGTGAGTAATTTGTGGGCTAATTTTCATTTTTGGGTGAACTAACCTTGCTGCACAGAGGTGGCATAAATGCATTTATACAAAATAGGTGTTGTTGAGCTGAGTCAAAGCAGGCATAATTTAGTCTGGCTTTTATGCTGCCTTACATCTGTATATTATATTACATTAAGCAGACAGTCTACTAATACTCTAATGATTGCGAAGTTACTTATGGTTAGTAGAGTGTCTAAACCGGACTATCCAAATAAATTGTTACCTGTATTTCTAATCAATCTCATTTTTAAAAAGTCCTTAGGCTAATAATACACACATACAATGTCAGCATGTTGATGGAGTGCTATCAACAGCTACGTCCTGAAAGGTTCAAGAGTTGGTCTTTCCTTTTCTCTTTCTTTTTTTCCTTTTTGCGAAATTTGAATACCTGAAGGCTTTGACCTTTTCATGATGAAACTTTGAGACTTCGAAACCCGATCCAGGCGCAGACAGATGTTCCAGGCTCCACAAGAAAAAAAAATGGCTAGAAGCAGCCCAGTCTAGAAATGAGCTGAAAAAAAAAGACATGACACAGTTAATATTCTCCATACTCGAACTTTTGACTGATTAGTATTATCTTCTGACATTTCAAGACACATTGAGCATTGTTAGAGCTGCTACAGTGTCATAGCTCCTGTAATCTCTGGAGGAAATTCTTCTCCTCTTCTTTCAGTGTAGCAAAGTAAAATATGAGACATGTAAAATATGATTCCTGACATTAACCAAAACAACCAGCTCTGACATGATCATAATATTTCAAGATTTCAAATTTGATTTTAAGCAAAAAAGTATTTAACAATCAGAAAAAAGGACAAAGGTGTCCGGAAAATCAGAAAAAAAAAGACTCTCAGGATCATTGGGATGTAAAAAAATACTACAATACAAAAACCTTGACTTATCATTGATTAAACATATTAACATTTTATAAATTTTTTTACACGATATTCAGATCTACACAAATATAACTTGGTAGCACAACCAACTCGGCTGTGTTGTGTAATGCTGAATGAGTTTTTTGCAGCAGTTTTTATCTTCATAGTAGCATTGACTTCTGTTAGCTGTGTTGTGTTTGTTTATGTGCATGTTTATCAAATTTGCTCAGAAACAGCCCTGATGTGACAGTCTAATGTTGGAGTATATGAGGGGTCAAAGTTTAGACCCTAATCACCATCATTATCCCTCACAGGAGGAGGCCCCGAGCCACCCACTGATCTAACGACCTCAGAAGTGACCCATTACTCCTTCCGTGCCACCTGGGTTGGCCCCGATGGACCCGTGGAGAAGTACAGAATAGAGTATGCGAGCACTGCAGGAGGAGAACCACAAAAGGTATGAACACTTCACATGTTTGAAAAGCATCACAATTACTATTGCCTATTGTTAGGGTTAAGGATTTGAAGCAACCCTAAGAATTAAACTTTATTGTGCAACTCATCTAAAGCTCTTAATGCAATGCACATTAACAGCAAGAAAGAGCAAAGGAAGACAAAGTGAGGCTTGATGCATTTCATGTTGAGCCAGAATGATTTCTTCAGAAATCTGGAAGTCCGGAGACAATTTGGAAAGGCTAACTTTAATTAATGTGTTTTCTTTGCAAACACAGTCATGTCCTATTCTTGTGAGTTCTCACTTTTATTCTGTTCCTCTGTTGCAGTTGATTGTCGATGGGACGGTGACGACTGTGGTCTTGGAGAATCTCACTCCTCTGACGGAGTACATCGTGAAGGTTCACTCAGTGGTGGGAGAGGACAGCAGCGACCCCCTCAAAGGCTCGGAGACGACATGTAAGTGTGCATTTACCCACAATTCACTCATCACCAGAACAGCCAGAGCCAATTCCTCAACAATATGTATCTGAACACCAAAAAACACTGTGAAAATCATTAATTATTTGCACAATCGACAAATGTAATTGTTGTTTTAGAAGTACATATTAATGAGGATATGGTTCTGCACTTCTATATAGCATGGTAATACAGTTTACTGCATTGTAATGCCTTGTTTTTGGACATTTTACACAGTAATACTATGATATTCTTTAAAGTACCTTGGAGTACCGTGGAAATACCATGGTATTTGAATGTAGTAATCATTCAATACCAGTGGTATTACAGTCTCACACCATTACTGTACCATGGTACTGCCACAATACAAAGATAGACACTTTATTGTATCATACAATACTTGGGTGAATCTCACAAAAACATGTCTGATTTAAAATAATAATAATAAATTAAGTAATACTTTTATTCAGCAAGGCCGCATGAAATTGATCAAAAGTGACAGTAAAGACATTTATAATGTTACAAAAGATTTCTATTTCCAATAAATGCTGTTCTTTTGAACTTTCTATTCATCAAAGAATCCTGAAAACTAAAATTGTATATGACTTCTACAAAAATATGAAGCAGCACAACCTTTTTCAACATTGATAATAATCAGAAATGTTTCTTAAACAGCAAATCAGCATATCTGAATGATTTCTGAAAGATCATGTGACACTGAAGACTGGAGTAATGATGCTGAAAATTCAGCTTTGATCACAGGAATAAATAATATTTTATAAATATTACAATAGAAAACAGTTGTAGTATTTCACAATATTTTTGTTTTACTGTGTTTTCAATGTTTTTTTAATGCAACCTTGGTGAAGATAAGAGTCTTCTTTCAAAAACATGAATAAATCTTGCCAACAAATGACATTGTGATTTCTTTTTAATAACATGTCAATACAAAAACTGTAATGGTACTGAAAATGCTCTTAATTTTTATTTGCAAAGTGTAATTTCCTATATTTTTCTTAAAATACAGTTCAGTTCTTGACAAGCTTTGTGAGATTCCCTCTGTAAAGTGAAATATTGATATTTAAGTATCATCTTTGCTGTTTAAAAATGACCAAGATTTTCTGATGTTTAGCCAGTTACTGCAAATAACATACTATGCAATGTGTATGTGCTTATATTGCTGTTCCCTTTTTTGCCACATTTAATTTTTTTAATTCACATTATGACATCATCATTCCTTTCACAGCGCTCTGAATGTAACCATGTTTCATACGGCATGATGCTGCTTTGCACCACAAAGTGTCAGGGAATTATTTCAGTTGTTGTCTGTGTGTCGACATTTGCATATCTGTTTGTCTGTCCGTCTGTCATTCATTTCCATCACGTGAATATCCCATGATTATTCTCATCCAACCATTGTCTCTCATGGCATTCCATTCCACCGTGTCACACATCCATCATTCCATCCGGAATGCTTCCATGTTCCCATTCGAGCTTCAGTCGGCTTAGATGGATAGTCAGGGATCAAATTGCACAAGAGAAAGAGAGAAAAGTCATGTTCCCCTCTGTAGTGCCTCTCAGCGCTGTGAGGAACATGAACATCTACAAAGTGCGCTCCACCACCATGAATGTGAGATGGGATGCGGTCGAAGGGGCCACAGGCTACAAGCTTCTCTACGACGGCCTTAATGCCACTGAACCCTCTGTGGAACAGGAGGTACGGTGACGCCACACATTTCGACCACTGCCCAGTCTGCTGTCCCGTCTCATCTAGTTAGTCAGCCTTTTGGAAAGTTCAGTTTTGAAGCTGAATATAAAAAAATAAATAAACACAAAATGTAAAAAAAAATAATTTTCATCAGGACTTACTGGAACAGACTAAATGTTCTAATGGAAACCCAGTGGTGCTATGCAGTTGAAATCTGTCAACAACTATGACATACTGTAGCAGAAAGAGGAAATGTAAAGCATTTTTGGAGATATTGTAGATACCACAGGTGGTAGGTCTCCATTTATTGGGTTCAAAAACATCTTTTATATTGCAGATTTTGGAAAATAACAGCTCATTAGCGCTTTGGGGCTTGTTAGCACAGTTGTGTTTTGGATACTTATCCCCCGCATTTCTGCATGCACTTATCCTCCGTTTTCTTGAATAGCTTTACATCAACATGAAATCAAAATGAACCCTATTTACTTTTCAGCCATTTTTCGTCATGGTAACTTTGTAACTCTTTGTTAAAAACTCTTTGTTAACTCTCTTCTTCTCTGAAACGATTTTCTTTTTGGTTGACATCATCATGGCCACGAGAACTGCGTTCAGCCTAGTGTTATTTTAGTATCACTGATGACTTTCTTTTAGCAATTACTGATATTTGTTTGTTTGTTTATTTGTTTGTAATAGTTTTAGTTTTAGTTAGTGGTAATAACCCTGGTACAGCATCCATATCCATTCATAAACTATCTGGGAAATGCTGGTTCAACCTGGTCTTTTCAAGCATTGGCGTAAATAATTTTTCCATCATGTTCCCTTGAACAAGTCCACCATCCCTTTCATTTGTGATGTGGTTGACTTTCACAGATACGTGTGAAAGGAACAGTTACTGACGTCCAGCTGAAGAAGCTTCGTCCCAACACGGCCTACAGCGTGTCCGTCTTCAGCCTGTTCGGCGATTACGCCAGTGACCCCCTCTCTGATCAGGGGGTGACCCGTAGGTGGCACTAGGGCTGTCTTCCCCTCAGCAGGGATGTTTAGCTGGCCTATCTGTTTCTCATCGTTTGTTCGTCTTTTTTCTTTTTTTGTATCGCTCCCTTCTCTGTAGTGTCTATTCCTCCATCCGGTGAGTTGAGTATCACAGACGTTACCCACAGCACCATGCAGCTGGACTGGGATGCTGCGCCCGGCGCTGTTCGTAAATACATCATCACTTACAAGCCAGAGGATGGAGAGGCGAAAGAGGTAAGGTCAAACTTGTCAGCTTTCGGTGAAATTCATCCTTTCTGACATTGAAATAGGCCATTCATGTGATTTGCGATTATGTGAATGAATATCTTTTCAGAAAAGTTTCAATGGCATTTTCTTTTCATCTTACCTCCGTATGATGCCTAAAATTAGTGTTTATAAATGCAGTGCTGCTTTACGTATGATGTGACCGCTTCCATTTTTGTTCAGACCAATTGCATATAGCATACAGAATCACTGATTAGGCAGAAATGTGAAAGTGAAAGTGAAGTGACATGTGGCCAAGTATGGTGACCCATACTCGGAATTTGTGCTCTGCATTTAACCCATCCATGTGCACACACCCCCGGAGCAGTGGGCAGCCATATTGCTGCGGCACCCGGGGAGCAGTTAGGGGTTCGGTGCCTTGCTCAAGGGTCTCACCTCAGTCATGGTATTGAGGGTGGAAGAGAGTGCTGTACATTCACTCCCTGCCGGACCTGAGACTCGAACCCGCAACCTTCGGGTTACAAGTCCAACTCTCTAACCATTAGGCCACGACTGCCGTGTGCACAGCTTATCAGCTGTTGAACAACAATCTTGTTTTCAAATGTGCAAAGCCTTCCTAGGTCACTGTGGAAGCCTTCCTGTGGAAAGATTCCTGTCTGTTTACACAATTCATCCAGGCAGACAACCAAGAAAGAGGCACATGTTGATGAATTTGGGACCTTTTAACATATCAGCAATTACGTTACACAAGTCAGTGGAGACGGCAGCTGCCGAGAGAGTACAGCTGATCTCCAGAGCTTCGGTTACGGCGATCATCTACCAAAGATTGCAAGAACAGACAGACGTTAATAAAGATGGAGTTTTGAGTGGCACGCAGCAATCCAGTGCTTTGGGATGTGTATTTTATGGGTGGGATTTTTTTCCTATGATTTTTTTTAAGTCTCAGTGGCAGTTTTGGCCTCAGCTTTGCTCCACATCCTGAAGTATTAATCATGACTTAGTGCTGCTCATAACTCTTCGTTCTGGGATGAAAAGATGAAACAAACATGCACACAAATGTGGGTCCAGGTGGATGTAAGCCTGAGGAACCCGACAGATGGCAGCAGCTCCTGTTACTGACACTGGATCAAAGATCAGGTCTAATTCTGCAGGAACTTTAAAGTGCTTTTATATCTATTGAGGCTCCATTGCTTCTCTCAACGTCAACCCCTCTCTAGCAAAAAAATGCATCACATGATTGCTATCATTCTGATTTTAGGTAGGACAATCTAGTTTCGAAATATCATGTTTCGTTCCGGAATGATTCAACGTTTCTGAATGAATCGGGTGAGTCGATGATTCAATAAGCCATTAATAAAGACAGCTGCATAGTAGTATACTGCTCTTACTATTTTTAGCATATCTTTTAATGGCATAATTAGTAAGAGTAGTATGCTAGTACACAGTGCCGAAATCAGCAAGTCACTTGCTTCATTCCTGAATGAATCAGCTGTTTTGAACAAATCGGTTGAATGAGAAAATCAGCGACTCACTCATTAAGGCAGTGACTTGTTGCCACCTACTGGTGGATTTAGTTTCATATTTAAAGGGTTAGTTCACCCCAAAATGAAAATTATGTCATACTCACCCTCATGTCGTTCCAAACCCATAAGACCTCCGTTCATCTTCAGAACACAAATTTAGATATTTTTGATGGAATCTGAGAGCTCTCTGACCCTCCATAGACAGCAACGCAGCTGAAATGCTGAAATGAAACCACAAAATTACATTACGACAGAAACGTAACATGGACATTGGTAAAACAGTCCATGTGACATCAGTGGCCCAACTTCAATTTTGCGAAGCTACGAGAATACTTTTTGTGTGCAAAGAAAACAAAAATGACGACTTTATTCAACAATCCTTCTCCCCCGAGTTACTGTCTTCAGCCAATTTGGAGCGTACCACAACACATATGCACGCTTTACCCTAAGTGTAAACAACGCTGATTACGCCGATTATGTTCATGCGCGCGCTTGCCCCCCTAACGTAAACAACGCCGATTACGTTCTTGGGTACTCTCCAAAATGGCAGAAGACGTAACTCGGGGGAGAAGGATTGTTGAATAAAGTCGTCATTTTTGTTTTCTTTGCACACAAAAAGTATTCTCGTAGCTTCGCAAAATTGACGTTGAACCACTGTTGTCACATGGACTGTTTTACCGATGTCCTTACTACGTTTCTGTCTGGGAACATTTCAGTTGCATTGCTGTCTATGCAGGGTCAGAGAGCTCTCAGATTCCATCAAAAATATCTTAATTTGTGTTCCGAAGATGAACGAAGGTCTTACGGGTTTGGAACAACATGAGGGTGAGTAATTAATTACATAGTTTTCATTTTGGGGTGAACTAACCCTTTAAAGTGTAATTTCATAGTTTTTATTCAGTATATTTTATATTTAACACATGCATTTCCTAACATTATTTATGCAATGGCAGTATAAATGCATCTCTGAGCTACATTAGAATACATCTAAATGCCACTTCAGATGCAGTTTGTGTGAAAAATAAATAAATAAATATTTTTTTTCAATGTAAAGTGTGATCTGGATTATGTAATCATATCCCAGTAATTAGATATTATGTTTTAATATCAGATTACAATTACATTTTTTAATAACATAACATATTCAGTGCTATGTGATAAACGAGTTAGGTCAAAAGTAATCTAAAAGAAATGAGTAGTCAGATTACATTACCTAAACTGTGTAATCTAATAGATTATGTTACTGAGTACACTTTACGCCATGTCCTTTGGAATCAGTAATGGATTATAATTTGTAAGTAAATACCCATTTACTAGCTAATTGCCAGTTCTAACCAGTCAAACCTTGACCGTCTCATGCTGCCAAGTCTCTTTGCTGTGTATCTTGTGGCCATAACTGCACTTCTCATGTTTCAATTTAGCTTGAAGTTGACGGAGATGTAACATCTAGAGGACTGGATGATCTCATTTCCCAAACGGAATATGATGTGGCTGTGACTCCTGTGTATGATTCTGGGACCGGAAACCCAATGCTTAACCAAGCCATCACAGGTAACAGGCCCAGGGGATCCATTATCTATGAATAACCTCTAAACTGAATTAACATTTGACTGCTAAATGTTTCAAATGCTTAGTTGTAACCTGAAACTCAACTTATCATCCTGTTCGTTCTAGACGTTGTCCCTGCTCCGAAGAACCTGAGGTTCTCTCAAGTGACCCAGACCAGTTTCAGGGCTCACTGGGAGCATGGCGCTCCTGATGTCTCCCTCTATCGCGTCGGCTGGACCAAGAGTGGAGAGAACAACTTTCAATATGTAAGACATCAGAGACTAAACTTGAGTTCTGATACATCAAGTTGAAGTACTGAAGATTTGACTCTTGACTGTGTATTTACTGTCCTTCCCATAAAATCACAATTATTACATGCATACATTACACTCAGAGGTATAAAGTATTTGGGTAATAGTGCTGTTTTTGGGGAATCTGTACTTTCCTTGAGATGTATATGTGTACTTTTACATTTTTACATTTACAAAGTAAAAATAATACTTTTTACTCCATTTCAATTTCACGTAGACTTAAAAGTACAAAGTACACATCATATGACTTTTTTTCTAGTTATTTAAAAATGAAAATTTAATTTGTGTCTTTATCCTAATGTAATTTTGAAAGATGAGGGTGAGTAAATGATGGAAAGTCAATTTTTGTGTGAAATGAGCTCTTTTCAGACACAGACTCAGTCTGAACTACAGTAATATAATGTTTTATAATAATCATAATAACCATTGCTGTGGATAGATGAACTTGAGTCAAGTGTGAAAGCGGTTCATGATTAGGTTTGATTATTTGTCTAAAAATCACTATTTTCAAGTGTCACTGTATTATAATTTGCTGCTAATTTTAGCTGAAAGTATTCAGGTAACATGTTTAAGGGTATTGGCTTGAGTTTAACATCTGCTGTGTCCTATGTAATCAGAAGAATGAGAAAAGAGTGATTTTTGACAGGATACATTTTTGAAAAATACTTAAAAAAAATCACTTGTTTTCAAAGTCAATTTAAAAAGCCAAGAATGTTTAAAAGTTAAAAGTGTTTATTTTCTTAGTTTTTAAATACTTAAGTACAATTAAATGTGGATACTTAAAAAATACACTTGGTGTTATTTTAGCATAATTGAGATATTAGTAATTATCATAATTTTATTCATATTTTGAATAGTTTATATATATATATATATATATATATATATATATTCCAATTTTAATTTTAGTTAAAGTTTTAGTTTTTTGTGTATTTGTGCCATAATTTAATTAATTAATTATTATTATTATTTTTAATGCCTATATTTATTTTTTTTAAGTTTTAATTTCCAGTTTTAACTAAATGAGAAATGTTGTTTTGGCAACTAGTTGAAATAAAACAAGTTTACTTTTTTATTTCACCTAATGAAATGTTTTTTTTTTTTTTAAGTACTTAGTAAATACTTTTAATTAAATAAAAAAAATTGACAGTCTCTAAATTTTTTTGATAAAGTAACTTGTACTTTTTACTTGAATTACAGTTTCTCAGTACTTTTTTACATCCCTGCATGTAATAGTGATTGTCAGTATCTAGCAGTTGTAGTATTTGCGTCTCAGCATTGCACATTTAGCTGCTGTTCAGTATGTAGCTAATACCACTGTCTTCCTCAGGATATCCTGAGCAGCGAGGACACCACTCTCCTTCTGGAGAACCTGGAGCTAGACACTCTCTATGATGTTTCTGTCACTGCCATTTACCCCGATGAGTCTGAGAGCGAAGATCTTCTGGGCAGCCAACGCACATGTAAGAAACCACAAAATCCAAATGATAAACTTTTTCCATCTACTGCACTTCAGACACCACATGTGCATTTTACAAACTCTCACTCTTTTTCTCTGCACCCTTCTGACTGCAGTGTCCAAGGTTATTACACCCGGTGAGTCTGTTGTTTTTAAGCTATGTGACATTTGACATTTGAATTGCATATGGATATGAGGATGTGTTAGAACACAAAAATGAAATATCAAATGTTGTTTCTTATAGCTCCTAGTGGACCTCCTCAGAACCTCCAGGTGTTCAATGCGACTACCAGCTCCCTCACCACCAAATGGGATCACGCTCCTGGAAAAGTGCAGAACTACAGGATCGCCTACGTACCGGTTGCAGGAGGAAGATCACAATCTGTAAAGAACATTTCAACATTTTTTATGTTCATATGACCTGGCTGACTGATGATAGTATTACAGGTGATGTGTATCATTTCCACTAGCAGCACCAACCAGAAACAGTATCTGTATTGAATTCAACCAAAATTCATTCATTTGGAAAACAAGATTTTGACTGCTTCCAAATGTGATTTGAATGATTATCACAAAATGTTTTGGATCCTGAAATTGTATTGGACCAGGAATTGTGCACATCACCTTAAATTGACTGATTCAAAGCAACACAAAGAGTAAATCACAGAAATAATCTGTTGGTTAATGCAAGTACTGTTTGGAAGTGTATACAGGTGCATCTCAATAAATTAGAATGTCGTGGAAAAGTTAATTTATTTCAGTAATTCAACTCAATATTCTTAGCTGAAGAGTCATCAAGAGTTTACCATTAAAGTGAACTTTAGGATAATTATAATATGATAATTATAATAATGGCTTATGCTTGTTGGTAGTTATAATCTTAATGCGTATGAGCATTTTTTTCAACATTAAGAATGTAAGTTTATCACAGTTTATCACCATTTTAAGCACCTTTTTTGCTTTTAACTAATTTTAAACGGTCCTATGTGACACATGCATTGTTGAAGGTACGTATATACCATATAGCCGTTTTAATTGAATTAATTAGTCAATTAATGAGGTCTTAAAAACTGAATCTACATTACCATCAAAACTTTGGGGTCAGTAAGTTTTTTTATTTTTATTAATACTTTTATTCAGCAAGGATGCTTTCAATTGATCAAAGGTGACAGTAAAGACATTTATAATGTTTTTTTTTTCTTCTCTTCATCAAAGAATCATGGTTTCCACAAAAATATGAAGCATCACAATTGTTTTCAACGTTGATAATAATAAGAAATGTTTCTTGAGCAGCAAATCAGCATATTAGAATGATTTCTGAAGATCATGTGACAAACATTCAGTATTGATCACAGGAATAAATTACATTTTCAAATCCATTCACACAGAAAACAGGTTTTAAATTGTAATATTTCACAATATTACTGTTTTTACTGTAAAAAGAAAGTGCTGATGAGCATAAGAGACTTCTTTCAAAAAATTCTTACCGACCCCAAACCTTTGAATGGTAGTGTATGATAGCAACACAATATATTTCTGTTAACTTAGATCTGTAGTTTGTATTATGTCTTTAGATTAATGCCTGACTCTGAATGCGCATTTAATATTCCCTACAGGTTGCTGTTTTTTTCAGTGGCATGCTGGTCCAATTGAAACCTTAAAGCAAATCTTAAGCTGTTTTAAGATGTTTTTGTCTGCAGGACTACTATCATATTATTTTCCATGTTTTCCTGCTATCTGAATGGGTGCAGAGGTGTCGTTTTTCTATGCTACAGTCATTGCAGTCACTTTTCCAGCCTCTGTTTTCTTCATCAAGAAGGCAGAGGATTTACACTGGCAGCAGTCATAGGAATATCAGCATAAAACTGCACGTTGTTTTGCTCCACTGAAAAACAGTCCTATCCGCAATCATATTTGTGATGTGCCTTTCCTGACATTATCCAGCATTGCTGAAAATTGCTTAAGCTTATTTAAAGGAATATTTTGGGCTAAAAAGCGCCATTGATTACCACAGAAAATGATTATAACTCGTCCAAAAAATGAAATCTTGTGGAAAATAAAAATCCAATTTAGAATAATATAAATGCATGGCTGTAAATATGTTTGTTTTATCATACTGAGGAATGAGTCAAAATAATTCTATCATAATTTTGTGGTTGTCAACATTACGTCACAGATACAGCTATAGACACAATCAGTGGAGCTGATCCTTTGAGTCATTTGACAACACTATTCATTCTCTCTGTCACAGACACAGGTTGGAGGGAAGAAAAACACAGTTATTCTGCAGAAACTGACTCCAGACACTCCCTACTACATCACGGTTGCTGCAATCTATGCGAATGGAGATGCCAAAGACATTTCTGGCCAAGGAAAGACATGTGCGTCACATGACTTTACCACATTCATAGGACCTGTTGGTTACCCAGCTACATTAATGCATTTTCAGATAGTATGTATATTACATAAATGAGGTCTTTGTCGATATGTTGAACAGAGTGTTATGTGTGTGCCCATAGTACCGCTGGGCAGTGTGAGAAACCTTCAGGTCACGGACCCCACGGTCAGCACTCTGAATGTGCGCTGGGAGCCGGCTGAGGGGAGCGTACGTCAATACAGGATTTACTACCAGACCGTCACAGGGGGCGCAGAAGACATGGTACGTCCGGGTCAATTATATTATGCTCCGGGTCAATTTGACCTGTGTTTTTGAGTTGTCTGGATGTTTTTCTTGAAATTGTGTGACCGTTTCTCATTTAGGGTTATAAACTTGCTTGCGAAGTTGTGACATGCTGAGGTGTTGTAGAATGTGCGTTTGAAATGTCTTATTACGAATGTGATGTTTGAGTGTCAGTTTGATTTTCTGACATGGTTAAAGGCAGGTACACCGATCCGGAATTAAGAAAAAGTTATTTTGTTAGGTCAGTTTCTCAACTGCCCTCTGAGGGTATTTACATTTACATTTATGCATTTGACAGACCCTTTTATTCAAAGAAATGTGCACTACGTTGGAGGCGTACATTTGTATTAGTTTATGAATGTGTATTTTGTTGAAAATCAAACCCTTGATCTTGTTTTTTTTTTTTTTTTTTT